ACTTTGTTTTATATCTGTGCCAAATTTCAATAAGATATGTTGAACCGTTGCAGAATGATCGAGTAAACATTAAAAAACTAAATTATTGAATCACACGGGAACCGTAACTCTTCCTGGGAAAAAAAACTTCTGGAATAACAACCTCGGTGGTCCAATTATATCACTTTACAAAAACAATAAAATCATAGCCCCCGCTATTCAAGACACTTATGCAAACGACCGTGTACATTGGTTTCTTTCAACGCCACCCCTCAGTTCCGTTAAACGCAATAACGCATTGTAAAACACACAAGCGATAAAAACATTCGCAATGATGATTCAAGTCTATATACCGGTCAGTAGTAATGATGATTGTTAGGAAGGCGAAGAAAATAAAATGAGAATGAATATTCAAGGTCTATAGACAAATGAACCTTGTTCTATTTAGGTTCCTATCATTTGAAGAAGAGGAAGTATTGTAGTGGTTAAAGCGCATATTCATTAGTCAAAGAATTTCTGATCGCGCATATAGCGACTGTATAAAGAACCGTTTTCATTAGTTGTTTGAGACAAAGGCGATATTCCTTACTTTACCGCGCATTATACTATTCAAGTCCTCACAGAAGTCGGCGCTTGCATACATCGATCGTTCGATTCAGGCGATTGCTTGAATGAGGGGACTTCCTTGTGCTATATATAATAAACTTTTAGAGACCCTTGATTTCAGCGAGTAACCTAAATGTAACTCTTATGTTTTTCAAAATATCGTAACAGTAACAGACAAACTACGTACAATAATTCAATATTGGTAACAGCGCCCTCTATCGCTGAGTGCGTTACTGTGCTGATAAAATTTTAACAGATCTAATTGTAAGTTATTGAGTGACTTATGTTATTTTGTACAATCAAATTCAAGCTACATTCCTTAGGGAACTCTCAAGTTTAAAGTAACGGCCTGTCGTTGTCATCATACATTAAACGCTGGGATCGACAAAACTATCAACTTGAACTTGCACGATGACAGGTCTACGATGAGAAATGCGGCAACTACACAGCAACATACCATTTAGTAAACTGTGTTTAATCAAATTAGAACCTTATTTCAAGGAGGTAAGGTTTATAATTGTGTTTAAAATGTATTTCGTCCGCAAATTACTATTTGATTGGTCGAAAGTGAGAGGTGGCAAGTTGGCAAATAAAGGGACAAAAGCGAAGCGCTTAATTTGTGCCAATCAAAGGCGTTGAGCGAACTTGACCCGGCGAGGGAATGCGGCCCTTGTTTTGATAGCGGCTTTCTGTTTGGCTCTGCGCACGCGCAGCGATGTTTGCTGAGTCACTAACGATTGCTTGATTGTCATTAAGTAATTGGAAAATAATATTGTTTTAAGTTTTAAGTACTTTTGAATGCATAGAAGTGTCTATAAGTGAATCTAATGATACAGAAGTTTTTATTTGTAATGACGTAATTTTGATGATCTAAGTATGAAATTGGGCTGTTACTATACGCATAAACCGCAATTAACACGAAATGTAAAAAAAAAACACTTACGTTCTTAAAATTTTTATTTCATTGTTAAAATTAGTTAATTTAATTTTTACAAAGAATTGAGAGAGCATTAAAGGCGGCAAAATCAATAGATTTCTTGATTGAAATTTATTTTCTTATTAAACAATATCTCGTAAATATGCATGTAATACGTACTTTATACTGCATACAACTTTCATACTTATGGTATCGTAATAAGGGGGAGTTTACCATGCGCATAAATACAGCGTGTTTCTAAGTTTCCTTGTCGCAAGTAACGCACAGAATATGTCATTACATCAATTATATAGGCAATAAAGCGATCGTATCTCAGTTTTAAAAGCGATCACGTCTCGTTATGGTTATTAACAATTCAATCAATATATTTTACATTGCCTTTTGGCGCCATCTGACGGCGCGTGACGGCGTTCAACGGTGCCTTAAATAGTAACACTTTCAGAACAACATTACAGATCATGTTCGATATAAAACTAATGAATTTGATTATCCTAGATCTATTACTTGGTACGTTACGTTATTTTCTAACAAAGGTTAATCAATTCAGTGTCAATTCGAGTTACTAAGTTTAGATTTAGTAAGTAGTCTTAGTCTCTTATCAGCGCTGGGTGCTTCGATCAGAAGCATCCAGCATTTATAGCTGAGCGAGGACCCAATCCGGTCAGCACTGCATACACATTTCAATTATTTTGTTTGTCCTGTAATTACGTGTTTATTATTTATCATTTTTTAATTACTTTGTTGTGTGTTTTTTTTTCTCTTATTCACAACACAATTTGGATGTAGTGGTGATAAGATAAAATGTTATTTTATTTTATTTTATTTACTTCTTGTGATATACGGCTTAATACTGAAACGAATTTTAAACAGTTCTTACCGTAATCGTTACATTCTAGCAGAGAATTTTAATTGGAGTTTGTAATTTAACATATTTAAATGTCGTTTCAGAATTATAAAATAAGTTTACAAATTCTTAAACTTTCCGATGATTGTTATAATTTTAACTAATCAAGCATACTATTATAAATGTGAAAGTTTAGATGGATGGATGTTTGTTATAGTTTATAGCCTAAGCGGCTCAACGGATTTCGATTAATAGCAAAGACGTAGAGGATAGTCTGGAAGAACACATGTTCAGTTTTATTTTTTTAATTCCACGCGGACGTAGTCGCGGGCGAAAGCTAGTATTAAATAAAAGTGCTCAAGCGGAAGCCAATAGTTTTATTAACCTCAGAATAAAATAGGCAATATTAATAAAATATAACTAACTAAAGATTGTGCTGGTTTACTTAAGATGTAAATAAACTAGTACATTTATTAGAACAATTTATTATCAACAATTACAATTATATTGTAACTAATATAACAATATTGTGCTATTAGCGTCACATGACAGCAAACTGTTGTTACAGATAATATCAGTAAAAAATACATCACGCATAATAAATCTGATACCTTGACTCTTGCGTATTAAAACTCAATATTTGCAATAGAAACATATAGACGGACTAACTTATTTGACCCGGTAAACGTGATTATAATTACATTTCAATATGTATTTTACATTCAATTGACAATCTCATCTTACTAAAAATGCGTAAGTTTAGATGGATGTTTGTTAGAGTTTGTAGCCAAAACGGCTGAAGGGATGTCGATGAAATTTAGCACAGACGTAGAACATGTTTGGAAGATCACGGAGTCGCGGGCGAAAGCTAGTTTTAAAATAATGCCACAATTTTTCAGACTATCGCTGTTTTGTTTTGTGTGTCAATAATATACTTAGGTAGATTTTACATATTTTCTGACAATTCTAACTGCGGTAATAGTGTCATTCTCACCGGGTCAGATAAGTGGCACCCACTATAGTAATACAAAGGTAATCAGCGGTATTGTATTACAGTTATTAAAAACCTATTCATATTAATTTATCTAATAGGAACGTCTCGGCGAACGCAAAATAAACATAAAGTGTATACTTTTTACATTAACGCCTCAATAAAAATTACATAAATCGTTGAACACGTCCTTGTTACTGAGATTTATATACTAGGGTAACCACCAGCTTCGTATAAGTAGACTTCGAAATAGTTAGAAAGCATTTTACGAAGGCTTTCTTATAATCGAAAAAGTTGATATATACACTTGTAGCTAGATTTAAAATAACTCATACTTAGTACTTAACTAAATAAAAATCTATACTAATATAATGAAGCGTAAACACACACTACTTTGTGGCGTAATGATGTCAGCAATCACAGCGTATTTATCAATATTTTTTTCTTTAGTAAAAAGCCCTATACTTACGCTTTAGGCTATATATTTTTACGCTAATAAACTTGGGAGATAAGTAAATTGGAAAAAAACCTTCATGTGGGAAAGGGGCATTTTGATATTTGCATTTTGATAATTTGACAAATGTAAACAATGAAATTAAATTTTCATAATTTTATGCGGATGAAATCGCACTGGAACAGCTTTGAAAAAAAACTGCAAATAACGCTATACAAATACTTAACAATTCTTATATTTGCGTGATAATTAACTAGAACATCCTATAATTTAGTGTTGCATTATTTTGAAAAGTACAAAGGAAATGGTATTCAAATACTCCAATAATATCACATCAATTGAGTTAGTAATTGACAACCGGCATAAGTGACGGCGCTAAAAGCGCTCGACGATTGCTTTGACAGAACACGTCGGCACTCATCTAAATTAAAGCAAAAACGACCGTCCCAATATTAAAAACGTACACAAAAAGAATGAATAAAGCGCTTTAAACATACGTTATTAATATCTTACTTTCTGTAATCAATTGTTCATTAATTTTGGCTTGAGAACAACATAAAAAAGTGACAGCTGTCAGTCGTTTTTAAGCGGGGAAATGTCATTTAGACAGAAGTGAGAATAAAGCGGTGAAAGCGCTGAGAAGTGATGGCTGGCAAAGCGACAAATGAGCTTGTCGCATCATTTGTCAGCGTTAATTGGCGGTTAAACATCTCTTTTACGTGGTACGTCTGTCCGATTAATCTTTGACCATTACTGTGAAACTACTAAGAGCGTCCACACCTGAAACTAAGCAATCGCACAACTGTTTAGTCGCGGTATAATTCCTATGAGCTTGTATGGAGGTGGGTACACAACACGATTAGTTGTGCAACTAATTGACTGCGAAACAATCGACAATCGCACAACAGTTGTCCAATAGTTCAGTCAAAGATATGCGCCCGCTTTAACACAGCTCTTTCCTTTAACATGAAAGAGAATACGTCACAAATGGTGATATAGACGGATTGTTTTTGTTTTTTTTGTCGGCTATATGTGTAAGCTTGCGCGTGTGCTTTTAACGGTTCCGCTTTCTCCTTTATCTATAGTTTTGAATAAACATTTGTGTGTTTAAAAACTAATTAATTTTAATTTAACCTTGACTTTCGAAGGTTTATGGACGAAAATCTTATCACTAGAATAAATAATACCTCGGTAATGTTGTACTCCTCTGTAGCTCTGTTAAGCTTTGTGAAGTATCTGAAACAAAAGAGAAACGAAATTAATATTCTTCTATTAGTAATTTAACATGTTCGCTGCCAATGATCTTGTCGGCAAGTTCATTGGACAACTTAGAACTTATAGTGGCAATCAAAGTGTTAAATCGAAGACTGTAAACAATAGAGCGTACATCGACATCAGAGGCACTATAGCCGCGGATGGGCCTGGTCCAGTAAATTCCTCCATATCGGTCCATCTTGGGCTTTTTGTTTCCAGCCCTTAATGACGACAATTTAAGATCTCGTCCGACATCATGTTGCCATCGTAGTTTCGGCCTATGTATGTACGTTCCTCTGGTTGACTCTATAATAGGCGCTTGGGCACTCTGCAGTCACTCATAGAATAATAGAGCGTACAAAAATATTAAATTCGAATTGAATTGTTGATATTTTGATATTTATATATGTAAATGTAATAAAATTGGATATGTAGTAATATTATTGAAAAATATCATGTATTTGCTTTCCAATTTTTTTTTAAATTTTCGTCTGTCCGAAAGTTGCGTTTTTTTTAGATAATCCTCGAAACAGCTTTGCAGATTTTAGCGAAATTTACACTTGATGGTAGCGAAACTCGCGGGAATGTCATCGATTAGTTTGTTTTTAAACACTGGCCGCTAGTTTATAAAACGATGTATCGTAAATCATACGATATCATTTTGTATGACATTAATTGTATTATAAGTAAGAAATATTATTAATTCGTGCCGTTTGAGTCCAGACGCGACATTACAAGGATACCATAATAGGCAAACAATACAGCAATTTGGATTTTACAGAAATGCCTCGACTAATTCAAATCGTCTAACAATTTCATACAAATTAGTATTGATTCATACAAAGCTTGTAATTTCCTTGAATGACAATTTAGCATTATCAACATAATGTTTATTTGTACAAGAATGTGTCAACAAACCGACTTAACTATGAAAAGCAACCTAAATTTAAATCAGTTGTAGTCAAGGAATTAAATTCGCTACCCATTTATAATGTCACCGAGCGTGTCATTGTAACAATTATAATGTAAATTGTACGTAATGTCACTAACGGGAAAGGTTCGTATTAGGTTAAAAAATGTTAACCTTTCATTACCTTGTATTTACGGATTTTTTCACACATAAATGTGTAGTTAAATAATTCATTGATGCTTATTTGTTTTGTGGAACATTGAATTATGTGCCTTTTGGCACTGTTGCAAAAAACATGCATTTTAAATGGATATTTTCTTTACAACGATGTTGAGGTATGCAATTTATGAGAGAAGTGTCTGAATGTTCTGGAGTATAAAAGGTATAAAAGAAAATATGTTTGGTTTACAAAATACCTTTATACATTTATTTGTAGGAATAAAAAAATACTACATTTCTTGATAATAATTCTCGATATTTATGCATATAGTTTTGTTATATACATAGTACAAAGTGTAACATTAAACAAGAACAACGGAAGCAATTCAACACAATAACAGTAAGAAATGTAGACTTCAAAAATATTTTATTTTGTTATAAAATTAACACTTGTGACAAATTACATAACCTTATACGCTCGAACAAGCGAGAACGTTTAGACTGAATAGAGCGGTAACAAATACTTTTAAGGCTGACAACAGACGACAGTTTACTTTTTAAACTCTAACCCAAACCTAACCTTAGGTAAACTACTATCAAAGTAACAACGATTATATCAAAAAAGGAATCCAATTATCACGTCTTTTGTGATTTAAAAGCCGCCTTTATAGATCTCTGGCTGCAGAGTACCAGAATAATCAGACACAATTTGTTTGTGCATGTTATTAACCAGGCGCCCTGTTAGATCCGTCAGGTATAACATGAGAAAATCCCCCGGGACGGCGTGGGAACGCGACTTACGTTCATGTCAATATTAGCTCCGCTTATTGTTACCGACGAATTTAGAAGCTAGTTTTTATATATCAAACGGTCCCGGCTGTACTCTTACACCTACGTATGAAGCGATGTTTGGACTTGCAATTAGTTTGTTGCCGATATGATGGTAAATGATGCATTTTTGTGGGTCACTTTTATTGCCGGTGGCTTGGGATTCGTCATGGGTGGCGGATGCAACGGCTTTCTTATTTTATGACGGTTTTTTTCCCCGCATGCCACACGTATGTGGTGATGGAATTGACCCTTCACACTTACCTTTATGTTCCTTGAAAAGTTTGACACCTCATCGGTTTGTATAACAATATATTGGATGACTACGGACAGTTTTTTTTTTAATTCGATCATGATCTAAACACTGAATCATAAGATAATTACTACCAGACTTTTTTGCCTTTGCAATAGAAATTCAAGCTGTCATATATTTCAGAATTCCATAGTGATAAGTGAACATTTTATAAGCAGTTAAGTTGCATAACTTAGTTACAAGCGGCCGTGTTCGTCTGGATCAAGCCAATAAATTTAACAACTCTATTTAATTACGATCAATAAATAGCGTCAAAGTTTATACTGGAGTCCGCAAGTGCTAGTTTCCTCTAAGGTGCATTGTTACTTGTTTTAGATAACTTGTTATCAACAGCCTTCAGATTACTTTAGATACAAACTGTTTCACCCGATTTACGCTACAAATGCGTCTTAAATTCAATCATACTTATACTAATATTATAAATACGAAAGTTCACATGAATGGATGTTTGTAGCCTAAACCGCTGAACGGATTTCTATGAAATTTAGTATAGATGTATAGGATATTCTACAAGAACATATAGGGTATTTACTTTTTTTAAATCGCGGAGTCGCGGGCCAAAGCTAGTATAACAAATAAAAGTAATCATCGACGGCAACTGCATGGTTCTTTCTTCCATTCCTATTCATCTTTATATCCACTCTATATACTTGTATTTATACTATATTATAAAGTGAAATGTTTTTTTTTTTCATATGTATAACTCAAAAACTACTGGACAGATTTAAAAAATTCTTTCACCGTTAGAAAGGTAATTTATTTATGAGTAGCATAAGCTATGTTTTTTTATTATTTTTTTAATTTCACGCGAACGTAGTTGCCAGCAACAGCTAGTAATATTATTACTAGGATAAAGAGGAAAGATTAGTATTTATGGATTTTTGTATATAATGAAATAACTCAAAAACTACTTGGCCAATTTCATACATTCCTTCACCATTTAACTACGTTTAAGTAACATAGGCTATGTTTTTTATTATTTTTTATTCACCATGCACGAAGTTGCGGGCAACAGTTAGTCATGAATAAAAAGCAATGTAATGTCAAATTTATCTTCAAAGAAAACGAGACTAAAACGCATTTCAATTTGATGATAAAAGTTTCAAACTCGACGAAGTAAAGTCGTCGATGTTATTAATTTGATATACCTTTACCATTTATTGTGGTCTTATTTCAATAACGATTTACGCCTTATAAAGTTTATTGTTGCACACCGGTTATTGTTAGTGGCTTATTAATAATGTATTTTGAACAAATTAATAATAAAATGTTAGTATAAGCGTACCGACAACCGTAACTAGGGTGAATATCAATTGCAGGTTAAAATCTCGGCGTTTTATTTGTATTTCGCTTTCGAGATTCCGTCCGCGAGGAATTAAAAGAAAAACCGACTTCCAAACAAAATACACTAAAAACAAAACAAAATGCACTAAAAACAAAACAAAATAATCTCAAAAAAACAGTACACTAAAAAGTAACGAAATAATTACTTGAAAATAGTAAACCTACCTTATTGTAACTGTTATGTCTATATTGTACA